CCAACTCTAGTTTTTCTATTGTAGTATTAATTTCTCTGTTGCCTTGTTTATTTTCTGTCTGGAAGATCTGTCTAGTGATGTTAATGCAGTGTTAAAATCTCCAACTATGATTGTATTCCCATCAATATCGCCCTTTATCTCTGTTAGTAATTCTTGTATGTACTTAGGTGCTCCTATATTGGGTGCATATATATTAACGAGTGTAATGTCTTCATCTTGTATCGCTCCTTTAATCATTATAAAATGTCCCTCTTTATCTTTCTTTATGGCCTTTGTTTTAAAGTCTATTTTGTCTGAAATCAGTACTGCAACACCTGCTTTTTTGGCTTTTCCATTTGCATGGAATATCCTTTTCAATCCTTTCACTCTCAATCTATATGTGTCCTTCTCCCTAAAGTGGGTCTCTTGTATGCAGCATATTGAAGGTTCTTGCTTTATTATCCACTCTGCCACTCTATGTCTTTTGACTGGAGCATTTAGTCCATTAACATTTACAGTAATTAATGATAGATGTGTGTTTACTGCCATTTTGAACTTATCTTTGCAGTTGAATTGGTATATCCTCTTTGTTCCTTTCTCATGCAAAATATTTTACACCACTTCTTACTGTTTTTCATGTGTATAAACTTTAACCTTCTGACTATGTTTATAATGTCTTTAAGGGCACAAATCCTTTCTTAGATGAATCCTTCTATTAATTCTCCACAGTCTAATACAAAGACTTGCAAAAAATGGGAGCTCAGTGTTTATTGACCAAAAAAGTTAAGGTGCAATATGAATTTAAGTTAAATTAAGGTAAATTTGAATTTAATTTAAAATTGACTAGAATAGCATCTTAAGGCTACAGATAGTCTATATATGCCTCAGATGGTTTAGAGATTGAATAATTACGCTGAAAGTTTACTGATCCCCCTCTAAAAACAGAGCCACTGTTGCTAAGATTCCCTAAAAGCGTAAATGCCTGTAGGTAATAAAAGTGTGAATGCAAGCTGTAGGTAAGACAATAGGGTGTGGTAGGGCCTGGGGCAAACTCTGCATTATTTGCCAAAGGCATTCAAACCCAAATTACTTTAAAACATTGAGAATTAAAATTCTTCTTTTAGACATTTGGCTTCAAAAACAGTGATTAATTCAGGTATTTAAAATCAGCTTGGTGTGTGTTTACCTAGGTCTTCATGGATACCCAGGACTATGCTAGACAGTTGAGGAGGAGAAGTCAAAAGAGTTAAGACTGTTCAGCCAGGAATAGAGTGTTACACAAACATGATCCTTTATGCTGGTTATTATTACACAAAGAAATTATTTGCTAGGATCCTTGAGACATTTCCTTAAAGTATTTATGCCTTGCTTATTCTAGAGACTAGAGAATTCTTGAAAGCATTGGTTCTGCTGGTCTTATTTACCTCTGCATACCAGCGCTTGGCACATAGAAAATAGTAAATGTTTTGAGTAAAAGAAAGAAAGAAAGAATTAAAACTTCTGTAAATTATTGTAAAATCATAAATTTCATCTATCAGTTCACAAGTAGATGTCAGGAGGTAGGTGAAATGGTAAGAAACTGGGCCTGAAGCAACCAGAAAGTGAACCTGCTGGCACCTACAGTGATTTTTGATCTTCTTGCAAATTTTGCTTGGAAAAGTTTTCCTGCTTACATTTTCTGCTGACAAATTTCTCCTCAGAATTTACAGAAATTTTCTGGATTTTTTTTTGGAAATACAGTATGATTGAATACAACTGATACTAGTCTCTTTTATATAGAAATAAGCCAAACAAGATCTAAACATCTACTAAGCAGAAAGTTAAACATAAACTATTAAATACAGGGTAGACAAGAAGTACTCTGAGAGGTACAGCAGTTCTGCAGACATTTACTTAGGAGGCACAGGGGAAAATTCATGAAGGAGGTGAC